TAAAGTAGCATTGCACTGACTGGAAATTTGTTGGTAAAACAAAGTTGGACGACACCATCAATAGATGGAAATTGGAATACGGGACAGAAAGTGAGATGATGTGTAGGGCAAGAGCACGAGAAATGGGTTGCGTTACCAAATGCAGTTTCAGTCAGGCTGCAGTTGCTTCACCTCTGCAAAACCAGGCTTGCTTTGCCATAGGATTCATCTCTCTCCTACTTTTAACTGCTTTCAAGCTAAGGTGTTGCCTACACTCCCTCTGTAAGATAGGGCAAGAAGACATCTGTGACTGTTCAGAGGCTGCAGCAGAGGTAGCTTAAGCTATAGCAGAGGCTGGTCTTTCACATGGCTAAGAGCAAGTGAGATGAAGCCAACCCACTGGTAGCCCATAGACCTTTCTGATGTTATACAACTGGACTGAGGACGAAGTACAAATGCCCGCCATTGCACTCACCTGCCACATCCAAGTCAACCACCACTTCATCATACCCATTGCCAAAAAAGACGCTGCAGGTGTATTTCCCTTTGTCCGAGAGCATGACATTTTTCAGGTGAAGAGACACATTTCCCTGACTAAATTCAGACCGAAAAAAATTTGTCCTGCCCTGGTATGTCTCCTCCTCAAGAACTGGATTGTATGGGTTTTTTCCATCATAAGTGGTCACAACAATTTCTTTGGTGTTTCTAGTAAATATCCACTGAACGGCAAGTTTCGCAGGGATTATCTTAGCATTCAGCTGACAGGGCAGGATGACTCCTTTTCCAATGACTCCAATGACAGGCTTGTCAGGAGGAATAATTTGATACTGGCCTGCAAGAAGATACAGATCTTATAAAATCTTATCTGTCATAGAATCATAGGATAGTTTGGGTTGGAAATGATCTTTAGAGGTCATCGTAAAAAAAGTTTTTCCTTGTATCTAGTCTGAATCTGCCCTCTTTTAGTTTAAAACCATTACCCCTTGTCCTATCACAACAGGCCCTACTCAAAAGTCCCTCTCCAGCTTTCTTATAAGCCCCCTTTCAGTATTGAAAGGCCGCAAGAAGGTCTTCCCGCAGCCTTCTCTTCTCCAGGCTGAACAACC